AGTACCCGCCTTCCACTCCGTACTGCTTATGCTTCGGTGGCGACGGGTATATCTTCTTTCGCCGACCGTGAAGAGATGATCAAACGCCTGAAATGGAACGTCCTATATGGCGGAGGAGACGGAGCCGATTCTGATGGCTGTCTCAGTTCTTCGTCAGAGGAAGGAGAGGACAAAAATGATCCTGGCAATCTCAAGAAGCAGGCCGAGGCGAATAGGTTGCTTCAGGAGCTTGTTGAGAAAGATCCTCTCTTAGCTGAAACGCTTCATCAAAAGCTGCAAGCGGCGACTTACGACGGAAATTCAAGTGACAGCGATGCCATGTCCTTGTCATCTGATGCAAGCGGGGAAGATGGAGGTTCACAAGATCCTAACCGCGAAAACGGCACGGAAAAGGGAGAAGCGGCAGAGGGAGCAGGTGAGGATAATTTGGTTGAAGAGGACGAGGATGCGGATGTAGAATACGCGGAATGGCGTGAGTGTAACATCTGTCCAGGAAAGCGATTTTTGAATGACGCCGAGGTAGAATCGCACTTGTCATCAAAGAGACATCGACGAGCTGAAGCTAAATACCAGAAGAAAATGTCTCTTCCGAAATCTGGACCTGGCTCGGAGCCGAACGGCGTTCCGTCTGAACGAAACTCTAAGAAGCTACGCGATTTTGACGGTGAAGAGCGTGAGATGATGAACAATGAGCGCCCGGACGCAGAAGATCCAAATGAGCGTGCCAAAGGCCACACTGCCGAGAACTCCGAAGACGAGAAGCAGAAGAAGGCCAGACGAAAAGCTGCAGCAAAGAAGAAGCTGAAAGCTTTGAAGCGGAAAAAATGGGAGAAAAAGGCGAAGGAAGGAGAGGGCGATGCCGTGGACCGACCCAGTGTAGGGGGAATTGCAAAAAGGAGAAAGCCATCAAATGCGCCTCCTGGTACCTCAAGTAAGGCTGGAGCATCAAAAAGCACAGAGGCTGGTCAGATAGAAAAGGCGAAAGTTAAAACTGTGTCGAAGGTACCTAAACGGACTGAACAAGTTTCCACATAGAAACAGCTGAAACGAAAACGCGTCAAAGAAGCATCGGGAGGAACGGGGAAGGAATACGCTCTTGGAGCCGCCGAGACAGCGGCTCATGAGAAGCCCCAGCGGAAAAGGAAAGGAAAGCGGTGACTGTGCGCTTTTTATTCAGGGCACATAGGAGTGCACGAATTCTTCCAGAATCCGAAGCAGCATCTCGCCCTTTTCCAGGCTTTAAATGCGGAACAAATAGGTACAAGAGTTTGTTTACAATGTGCGTCGCAAGTTGATCTTCATGAGATTAACTCGGTTGGCAGCATAGGGACGTACCAGTTTCTGTTTTGTACATATTAATGAAACTATGTGTGATTGAAGCCCTCGATCGTTTCAAGAAAATGAAGCAGATCTATCGTTAGTCGAGGGGACAACTCCAGACCGTCGTAGTCTTCGGTACGCCTCACGCAAGTGTTTTGGCTGCAAGGCTCCCTTGTCTCCCATTTGATTTTTGACGTCGAGGGCAGTTTCAACGACGTCACCAACAAACAATTTCGCCAAACCCTTCACAGCTATAATATAAAGATCGGAGGCTTTCTGCAAAGTAGGGTTGTAGCTAACGAGGACTTTCTTCACCTTAGGATTCTTCAAATCACTTCTCCTGTACTGCTCATATCTGCGTTGCTGTACGGCAGTTAGTTTCGCGACTTCACCATGTTCATATCGTGCGAAAGAAGCTAAATCGAGTGGGGCTTCTTCTTCACCGCTTTCACCGGGTTCCATCTTTTGTTCCGACTTAGCATCTTTCGCATGGGTGCTCCCTCTTGTCTGTGAATCTTTTTTCTCTTCCGCAGCACCTGCACTCTTTGCCTTTGATTCCTTGCCTCCTTCCGATTTGCGCTCACCGGTGGCCACAGCGTCTTTCACTCCCTTGCTACCGGAAACCTGCAGCTCTCCTGAGATGTGATTAACCTTAGCTTCACCCGCAGGAACTTTTGCGACAATTGCCGTATCGACGGCCATAGGACAAGGCTGAGCAGATTTTTTGGTGGCATTCGATTTGTCGTTTTCCGTGTCCCCGGTCTTCCTCTGTCCCCCTTTACTCTCCGCCGGGGTAATCTCATCTGTGGCGTCATTCCCAACCTTCTCCACCGGCCCGTCCCCAAGATTTTTAACAGTGGCGGCCTCTCCCTCCTTTGCTCCGCCCTGACTCTTCCCAATCTCGTCGACCTTTTGCGCACTATCCTCCGGCACCTCCTTCTCCGTGGGCAGAGCGACATCCTCCGGCTCATCCTCCTGCTCATTCTCGCCAAACGCATCGCCGAAAGCGTCATCTATCTCCGCTCCCGCCAGCACCTTGTCCTTCCGCTTGTGTTCCTCGCCATCATCAGGTATGACGACGACGACGTCGTCGTCGAGCCTCTTCCGCTTCGGGCTCGGCGCGGCACCCGCGTCCTCCCGCGGGCGTTTCGCCGGCGCATTCGGTGACGGCTTCACCAATTCGACGGAGCCTGTGTTCCGAGAGTCCGTCTCCGCGGGTGGCGCTGAGTCGGATGCCGCGGGGCGGAAACGAATGGCGGAGTGGTTTGCCGTGTCGTCTTCTTGCGGGAAGACGTCGGTTGCGCGGTGCAGGTCGTCGCCGCTTGCGCGCCGGAATTGGATCCCCCCGGAAGGCGCATCGCCTGGCGGCCCTGAGTCGCCGGAGGGAGACCCGAACATTGTCAAGGGGTAACCAGCAAAGCTTCGGAGTTGGAGTTATGCGCGCGTAACCGAGGTCAATGCAGTTGTACTCCTCACATCACATGACATGAGGAACCATGTGTCGTGGGCACTGTACAGCGAGGACAGCGCTAGCCCTAAGCGACTGGCAGTGTCCGCGGCGGTGCGCCGCCGGTCCCAAAATTACAAAGGGGAATTTTACCGGGTACTTAAATCAAGGGGAAATTAAAGGGACTACAAATCCGGGGGATACTGACGCACTGACGAGACAAGACCCCCGGTGGCTTTTGTGGCCTTTCGCTTCGCCTCGCTCGATCACCTCCGTTCTGCTCCCTCCGCTGCGCACGTTCAGGGAAACCGAGCCTCAGCTTCCGCTCGAGACTAACATTCCTACCACAGTTATGGGCCCAGGGGGTAGTTCGGCCCGCGATCGCGAGAGCCGTTTAGACCCTCCGTTCTTCTATCCGGATGGAGATCTTCAGGATTGGCGGCGGAAAATCGCTCGCTGGGTAGACCTTATAAAGTCTGCCGCTGAGCGTGGCACGGATCGCGTGTACGCCACGGTGTACGCCACCCTTGGGCGCCAGCTCTATGAGCGTGGCTTGCCCAGTGCTCAACAGTCAATTGTTGACGAAGCACAGGCAGTAAGAACGATCGATTTTAAACAAAACGATCAAGTCGCAGCCGTTCGAGACATTATGAATCTCATCGCCATTGACCCCCCGATTGCTATGGTATCAAGGCTGATAAACTCGTCTCACAAGGTATCAACCTGCCGCCGGAAGAAGAACGAAGATCTCTCTGTTTTCGTGTCACGGTTCCGAGGACTGGCTGCGGAGCATCTTATGCATTCCAACGCCTCGACGTCTTCCCAGATTGGTGAAGTCCTGGCAATCACTTTGTTGAACAATGCCAACCTCCAAGAGGGCACTCTGACTAATGCCAAGCTGCAGTTAATTTCGTTGGCTGAAGCTCGGGCTGTCGAAGTGAATCCGCCAACAACGAGGTCGTTCTCCACCAAAGATCTCGACGAATTCAAGTCTGTTATTGAGAGCGCAGGAGAGCTCCAAGGTCCGTTGTACTTCCGTACAGACGATGAAAATGGTCTACGGAATGCCCTCCGTAAGTACCGCTCTCAAGCACGAAGGACAGGAAAGAAAATCCAGGACGCATTTCAGAAACTGTACACCAATCCGCAGGAATATGAAACGCCTAATAATTCCGTAGCGGGTATCATCTTGTCCAAGGCGAAGCCTTGCAAGCTTCACTTAGATGACGCCGTTTCTGTCCTTGGAAACTTGACCCTCACGTCAACACAAGGTCCCTCGATGAGCATGAAGGACGTTGAAAGCCTCGTGCAGCACAACTTTAGACAAGCACTTCTCGCCGTAGGGCATAAGGCTTCTGGAGCTGGATCCGACAACTTCGCCTATAATGACGTCGTACGCAATGGAGCTCGTGGACTTAGTCGGAACCCGCCCAGAGGAAGACGCAAGCGCCCTCACGAAGAAGTAGGAACCCGCTCCTACAGGACAACCTGTGCGGAGTGTGGTGAGCAGGGACACCTCCGTGGTGATCTGCGCTGCTCAGCCTCCGACCATCACGCGAAAAGACGAAGAACCACTGGGAACGACCGTTTCCGGAACACTGGGAACGAGTACAAATCTCCTGCATTTTTTCGTCCAGGCTCCCGTCCGGGACGCAGAGACAACTAAGTCTCGTTTCCAGGCGGGGAGCCAAGTCCGACGTCTTCTCCTCACGTGGGGACCCCAATCCAATTTTAGACGTTGGCTGTCCGAGGAGTGTCGGCGGCATCCAATCCGCGGCTACACTCTGCGTGAAAATGGGAATCAAGCTATCCATTCGTCCGCTCGATTGCAAACCATTCTTTCACGGATATGGAATGGAGTGTAGCGAAGCCGAGCTTGTGGTTGCCATATGAGATATGCCTGTTACGGACATGTACGGGACAAACATAACAATTCCGTTCTACGTCACAAAGGGAATTGGCTTCCTCCTTCTCGGCAACGAAGTGCTCCACAAGTCAAGATTGCTCGGACCAGAGAACGCCCTTGTCATACCACCTGGAGTGTGCGGCCTCTCACAGAAAGAGGTCGTGCTTCAGACATATAGTCAACAAATCTCCCCGGAAGATAAAGACGCCAAGAGAACGTACTTGTTCGTGGTACCTTCAAAGACTTCGTCTTTCGAAACGTACTTCGCATCTTTGCGCTCCCTCATGTCGAGGCAAATGGGGCATCGTTTCGGAAGAACCAAGTTTATGGACGGAAAGGTGGCAAAGAGGTTTGCGCTCAAGCTTCATGGCTCTTCCCACTTGCCCCTTGACGATATGCTCGAGTTATGCAAACGAGGATCTATCCTCTCCTCAGTTCTTAGGCAAGCCCTCACCACTGTTGCATCGAAATGTACGTCTTGCAAGAGCACCGGAAGACCTTCCAACTCGAGAAAGGTCTCTTTCGGAAAGCTCCTCTCATCTTTCAACGACCACGTTCAGCTAGACTACATGTACATCACTGAGCTGGGTAATCAGCCCATACTCCACATCGTCGACGTACACACCGGGCTTTCCGTTACCTCACTCATGACTACACGAGAGATGGACGAGGCATCCCGTGTGTTCGATAACAAGTGGTGTGATGTACACGGTCCTCCAGCTGTTGTATCATCTGACCCTGAGTTCAATAACTCCGTGTTCAAGGGCTTTTTGCAGTATGCAGGGGTCAAATTCCAGCCCCGTCCTGCTCGAAGACACAACAAGCTTGGGGTGGTTGAGAGCAAGAATGCGGTGGTCCGGTTGATAGCCCAAAGGATGACCAAAGATGCACAGTTCTTCATGCAGACTTGCAACGTGGAAGTGGAGAAGTCCGACGTTCTTTCCCGTGCAACATATGTGAGCAACATATTGTACGGTAGCAAGAGAATGAGCAGCTTTGAACTCGCTAGGGGCTATACTCCTTCCATCGCTGGACTCCCAAAAAGTGTTGTGACCGACCAAATAATCGCTGCTCACGAAGAGCAAGTTGCCCGTCGGGCCCTCTTGATGCTTGACAAGGGCCGGTCACCCAACACCGTCCTTCCCGAAGACCTTCGACGTGGCGTCCTCGTCTACTACTTCAAACGCAACGTCAAGTTTGGCAAATGGGAATCCGGGTATGTACGTGCAGTCGAGCCGCACATGGTTATTGTCTCAAATAACCCGGAACATCGTGGAAAGCCAATTCGGGCTGCGTATGAAGATGTGCGCATAGCTCCACGGTCACCCTTGCTGTTGGATCTGAACCAGATTGGTTACGTTTTCCCCCGGTCGTACGCCGTCGTTGATACGGATGACACTGAGGTAGCGATGAACCAGCATCAAACCGACAACGCCGAGTCCCGGAGTCAAGTTTTGCCGACCGAGGATGATCTCCCAGCAAGCTTTCCGTGGGAAGAGGGAAACGACGTCCACCCTCCTCTACACGATGACATTCTTGAGATCAGAAAAGACGGAGAGGACTCAAGAGTACATGCTGATGAAGATGTCGCAAGGTACTTCGAAGAACAGCCTGCATTCTTTGCGAATACTAAGAAGTCTCCAAGCTCACGCAACCTTGAGAGACCCCTGCAGGAAGAAGTCACTCCTTCAGATCCGGCAAGGCAACAGGGCACTCTCAACAAACCGTTTGACCCACCTCGTCCCGAGAAAGACATCGGTGAGGTGAGAGTCACGCCTCCCCCGGAGCTGCCGTTTGAACTCCAGTCCATGGAGCAGGACGTCCTGCGACAAGTAAAAGGGATCATCGGAGATAAAACCGCTTCGGAATTTCAACTGCAGTTCGTGCCCCGATGGCTGCTTGACAAAGCCATAGCTGCAGAGAAGAATAACTACGACGGTGCCTTTGAAGAAGTCAGGTTGAGTTCCATCCCTAGAGGTGCCAACATTATATCATCGCATCATTTCTTCCAAGTGAAGACCGATGGGGAAGAGGACAAACTCCGGCTGAAGTGTCGAATGGTGCCTCACGGCAACCGCGACAAAGATAAGGAGAGTGTCCGGAAGGATTCTGCAACTGCACAATTCCCAGTGATCCGACTGGTGTTGTCCATCGCCGCCGTCTTGAACATGGTCATAGCCACAATCGACATTAAGGGTGCGTACCTGCAGGGAGGTTACCTTTCTCGAGACATCTATGTTCGACCACCAAAAGGTTGGGCGGCCCGAGGGATTCTGTGGCGACTTCTCAAGCCCGCCTATGGAATTGTCGAGTCTGGAAGACTCTGGCAGCTGACCATAGAAGGTTGGATGTCTCGGCAAGACATTGTACCCATCCCTGGTATGCCACAACTCTTCATGAAGTTCGGCGATGGAGGTAATATTTCTCTTGCTATTTGCAAGGTCGTGGATGATTTCCTGGTAGTCGGTTCACCAAGAGAAGTCAACGACTTCCATGCTGCCCTTGCAAAACGATTTGAAGTTGGCCGGTTCGTCGTTGACCGCCCGCTAATCTTCAATCGCCTCCACATTTCGCAAGGCCCTGATGGTACAGTGCACATCGATATGAAAGAGTACATGGAGAAAATCGAGTTTCCGGCGCTGTCTCGGGAACGGAAAAAGCAGTTCCACGAAAGAGCCACCCCGGAAGAACTCAAGTCGTACCTTGGCTTGGCAGGATCACTCAACTTCCTTGGTCATGGTGTCCTCCCGCAGGCTTCTTTTGCAGCAAGCTACCTCCAGCAAGCTGTAGGCAACCTAAGAGTCTCTGACTTGGTTAACGGCAGTAAGGTTCTGAACGAACTGCGGGGCTTGACTCCACAGCTGAAGTACTGTGCTCCCCCGATGCTAGACAAGGACCCTTTGTATTTGTGCTTCTCCGATGCTAGCCATGGTTCCACTTCATATGGGCAGACCGGATACCTCTCCGGGATATACCTGCCTGCGGGGGGTGCCGTTGTGTACCATGTCCTTGATTGGCATAGCTGCAAGCAATCCCGAGTGGCGTTTTCGTCAATTGGAGCTGAAATACTTGCCGCAGCAACGTCAACAGACCGTGGATCGCTAATGGCCGAGAGCCTCAAACGAGTGTACGGATCGGACGTCCCGCTTCCGTTTATCCTCACGGTTGACTCGCACGGTTTATACTCAACAGTGACGACGCTCCACGAAGGGACAGATTACCGTCTCCGACCCACAGTAGCACGAATGCGAGACTCCTTCGAAAACGGAGAGATCGCTACGATGCAGTGGATTGCCGGCAAACTGAACCTTTCCGACGCCTTGACGAAGAGAAACTTGGAAATGTTCCGAAAGCTGAACAAGGTCATGGTGAATGGAGTGCTGGACCCTTGCATGTTCGATAAGGCCAAGCGGATCCAGTTTAATTAGCATCTACGGCTCATCGATTACCATCCTCCTCCTTGTCTGAGAGGAACCAGTGGTAAAGGGCTTCTTCTTTCGCGAAACATCCTTTCGCTTACGTTGAACTTCGGTGGATATTTTCCTACCACCACTATGACGCTTGCGCTTCCCAACTGGCTGTTTGGTGAGGCGACGAAGCTCCGGAATGCCGAGTAGGTCGACCCCATCACCAAGACAAGCGCTCAAGGTTCCCTTGCCCATCTGTAGTGCAAAACGCTCTGTGCAATCATACACGAGCTGCCTTTTGGCATCCAGAACGACGACATGGTCGATTTCTTCTCCTGAACTGTCCATTCCCCCTAACCTGGACAAGAAGATCCCATCACGTTGGGAAGCCAACCACTCTTCTTCGTCAACACGCTTCGGAATCGAAACCTTTTCCAGGCGGTAAGAGCCCAACCGCTGTTCGAGCCACGCTCCAGCTTGGGCGACGCTCACGGCTGGCATCGGATGGATATTCATCATGGCTAGTGCAGCCACTTCTCCAGCCAGCGCGTATAGTCCATTCCCGATCGCGGCTCGGAGACACTGGGCAAGTGGAGAGAACACGAAGCTGGGAACGTTCGTACGGCGGTGGAGCGTTGCAGCCGAATCCCCGCGAGCACCGGGGCATCGAAGTCTGAAGAAGTGGTCCATCCGGCGAGTGCAAGCTCGGTGCAGATTGTCCAAATATCGCGCCTCGGCGTGAGCATCAAAAACTATCTCCACTTGCAAGCCGCTCCCGTTTTCCTTCACCTCCAAGTCAGACTCGACCTCACTGCTCAACTCCATCATCTGCTCCAAGCTACCCACGGCCCTGTGCGACTTCATGGTGTAGAAGTCGATGGGCCAGAAGGAGCGATGTCCCCCGCGGTCGTCTGCTGAGGCAAGGAACCCCCGCTTGCCAAACCATATGTCCTTCCCGGACGAAAACACAATACGCCGGATAGTGTAGTCCGTTTGGTCAGCCCCTGGGTCCATCAGCCGAGAACCCCAAAGGCTCAAGAACCCGAGTTCCTCGAGCATTCTTTCGGTGAAAAAGCGACCACGGCGCAACGACAGCCGATCCCAGAGCTCGCCACAAACTTCTCGGGGCAATCGCACACTCCTCATCAGTGCCTCCTTTGTCACTGACACCACCCGGGAGCCACTGTGTAGCTGAACGCGGCACTCGCCATCCAGCATCTCCATTCCGGAAAGCGGTGCGCGCTTAGCTTCCATCGAGACCCACCGCACGTCAGGCATCGTGTAGCCTCACGCTCACCCCTCCGTACCGTGGCCCGCGGGCGCTTTTATCGGTTTCGGTCAGGGCAGGCGCGAGGCGGAGGATGACGAGACGAAACGGAGGATGACGAGACGAAGCGCTCGACGCCGAGACGAAGGGCGGAGCGCCCGGCAGCTGCAATGGATGAGGCCCCAGTAGGGGAGATTGAGATTGTGATGCTTGGCGCGGTGGTGCGGTGGCGCGGTGGTGTGGCGGCGCGGCGAGGCAGATTGTGACCACGGAGCTGAAACGGATCGCAAGATGCGCGACGGGCCCAAGGAGAGGAGCGGGAAATGCAGCACGATTTAAGAAGCGGGTGTGCGGACGCGCGAAATGGGGGACCGATCGCAGGTAGGGAATGCGGTGTAAGGCAGGAGCCCGAAGGAAAAGGGAAGAAGGGGATAACTCCGTGGAGGAGCACGCGGTGCATAAGGGGAGCCCGCTGACTGGGGTCTGCCAGAGAGTCGGACCACGTTCCCAACGTATATACTCCGCCGTCGGCGTGCGCATGTAGTCGGCCGCCGCTGGCCGCCGTCGAACGTGGCCCGACGGGGGGTGTGTCGTGGCACTGTACAGCGAGGACAGCGCTAGCCCTAAGCGACTGGCAGTGTCCGCGGCGGTGCGCCGCCGGTCCCAAAATTACAAAGGGGAATTTTACCGGGTACTTAAATCAAGGGGAAATTAAAGGGACTACAAATCCGGGGGATACTGACGCACTGACGAGACAAGACCCCCGGTGGCTTTTGTGGCCTTTCGCTTCGCCTCGCTCGATCACCTCCATTCTGCTCCCTCCGCTGCGCACGTTCAGGGAAACCGAGCCTCAGCTTCCGCTCGAGACTAACATTCCTACCACACCATGATGTGCCGGGTGTGAATGCAGGGTCAACGAGCGATACACTACTCTACCACGTAAGCCACGTGTTTCACGGTTCCACGTCGTCAAGTAGAACACGTTGAAGACGTTTGTGCGCACGTGTACTTAGAGTAGTCGTGTACAGTACGTGTGCGGTGGCGTAAGTGATCATGCCGCACTGTATGATGCACCGATCCACAGTGGCGCCATCAATCAACAATGCATCTTTAATACCCATTCCCGTTAACCAACCCGTCAAGACTCGCACCCCCGTCGCCTTCCTTCTTACTCACCCCCACACCCATCCCCCACCCCCGCTTCCCCGACCTACCGTGTCGATGACCCCTTCACCAACCCCCTGACCACCCGCCCCCCCCCTCGCCATGGCCGCAACCCCCGTTTGGCGCCTCCGCGAGCACGCCCACCTACTCTTCTTCCGCCTCTTCTTCCGCCTCTTCTACCTCCTCCTGCGCCTGTACCACCATGTCTCCGCCCTCATCTGCTTCCCCTTCCCCTTCCCGAGCCCGACCCGCACCCCCGCCTCCTTCCCCCACCACGTCGCTCTCTCCGGCGCGCTAGCCGCCGACCCCGCCAAACTCGCTGCCCTCATCACCCTGGCCGCGCGCGGCGGCGCGCGCCACGTCTCGGTCCACGACCCGTGGACCCCGCTCGACCCGGACACCCTGGCCGCCCACCTGCTTCGCGCGGGCCACCCCGCCTTTTCCGTGCGCCAGATCCTTCCCGACGCCGCCGCCGCCTCCGTCTCCCCACACCCCCGCTGCCCGTCGGACTCCGACCCGCCCGTCCGCGTCACCGTCTTGCACGCCGGCACCGGGCTGGCGGCCCTCGTCT